CCCGTTGATAATTCTCTATCGTTGGCACGCTGATAACAATTATTTTTTTAAATGGCACTTCATATCGGTCGGCAACCTTTTTGCCGACCCCTGTCCTAGACTAACAAAGACAACACAGAGTTGAAGGACAGTAGAAGTGAGTGAGTGCAGTGAGAGTTGCCAAATAAATGTTGTACTTTGTATGATGACAATAAAAATATATTCTATTCTATTCTATAGAAGGGGGCAAAGGCAGAGATAATATCAAACTGAGATAAAACAGGCAGATTAAAAAAAAAGTGTCTGAGCCTGGGAGGCCAAAAAGTTCCCATTGTTTTGTCTTCCTTCCTTCAATGGTTCCTAAACCACTTTTCCTGCCTATCTGTTATAGTGTCCCTCATTTAACTTAATTTCCCCCCGGTTTTATTCTCACATAAATCACCCTGAGCATAACCATTCATCTCTATATAAACTGTTCCAGGATGGTGCACAGTGTCTCTGTGTTGTGGCTCTAACAAGCAGTACTCCTACTGGACTAATGAGGGCGCTAAACTTAACACCACTCTGGAAAACCCTGCATCAGCAGAGAGAGATGATGTCATTTGAGTGATTGGCCTGAGGGATATTTGTATAATTTATGGAAACTTCACATGTTAAAACTTGTCTGTAAATCTTAAGCAAATGATGACAAACTTGTTGTTATGATGTATTTTTTCCACTCCTTTGTTTACCTCTCCTTCGCCTAAAAAGCTGTGTCATGACCTCAGGTGGGTCACCGCTGGTTCTTTGCAAGTTATTCATATAGAGAATATTTTTAAGTGAGAATACAATAAGATTTCAAGGTTCCATTCGTGGACCGTTACTGTTTTCACTGTACACTAATGACCTGCCTAATGTATGTTGCGAGTTGAATGTGCAAATGTATGCCGATGATGCGGTCATCTTTGTACACAGGAAAAAGACTGAAATAATCAAATCTGATCCCCCCAGGGGAATACATCCACAAAAAACACACTGGACGCTGCACTAGGTCAGAAACCAGAGGAGACTGTGAAGTCCACCGCAGACGGACCACTTTTGGACAAAATGTACTCTCCAATAAAGGCAGCTCTTTGTGGAATAGCCTCCCAACTGAGATACGGGATTGTCCCACTCTCAATGGTTTTAAAGTTCAACTCAAAGAATGGTTGAGAAACAAACAGACGTGCAATCACCGCTAAATGCACTTTAATACAGGGGTATCTCCTATCGCACTTTATGTAGCTCTTTTATCTTCTACATTGTACTGCCATGTGGTTAATGCTTGTATATGCTGCTCATGCTCTTTCTGCATATCATGTATTTATTTTTTGCTATGTATATAAATATCATGTTCTTAAATGTTGTATGTGAGGGACTACGGATGGAAATGAGCTCAAAGCTAAAATCCGGCATATTTACATTTGAAGCATTGTTTGTTTAACATGTTCATCAATGTGCACTGTCCCTGTTCAAATAAACGATTAAATGAAAATGAAAATAAGAAAAAGCCTCAACCGAGGTAAGAGAAAAGCTAAACGTTCAACCAATTAAATGTAAACAAAAACAGAAAACAATCTGTGAGGGTAGAATTAAAAAAAACGTACAAACAAGCCAGAAAAAAATGAAATCGGAACAGAACATTTTACAAAAATGTGTCATGATTAAAAAATAAATCCCAAAGAAAAACTATCAAATTCTCACAAAATTCAGATCAAATTGAATAAAATACGTTATCTGAAAGAAATGTGATATACCCTGCTGTTTGAGCCCTCTAACTCCTCCATCTACATGAGGTCAGGGTGTAATTGGTGGCCAACTAACTAAGGCTTTGACATGAGCCGGTGTCAGAGAGCTGTTAAGGCAGATGGTGTGCAGGGAGATTGGATGCTCAAGCTGCTCGTCTCATCCCAAAGCCTCAAATTACTGTCTTATCTTTGCAGGTGGCCTAAATAATAAGAATCACTGTCACTGTGTGCATGGGGGGCAATACATATCCAGTAATATCTCACTAGGGGTAAAAAAAATAACCTAAATGCAGTTTAGCAAGGATAATACTTAGAAACAGTCACTGGTATAAAGCTAATAACCCTAAGATAAGTGTGTAAATAAAGTAGGTGAAAAGTGACAGTAACTTACGGAAATAGTAGGTAAGCTGATTTGATGATGATCTGATTTGTTTACAGATGTAAATCTTGCTGCTGAAAGGATAGTTGTTGTTTGATATTGTTAAATTCATTTAAAAGTAAATGAATAAAACTATGTGTTTTAAAACAATTAGATGCTACCATAGAGATTATTTTTTATCATTGCTTTATTTTTATTATTGCTTTTAGGATGTCTATCACCATCTGGCAAAGGGACTATCGATGAAAGCTAGCCTTTTGGCTAATTCAACTTTTACATGTTTTTAATATGTTGATTAAGGTACACCGTCCCTTGTTTTAAATACATCAATTCAATGTCTATGTTTTGTCTGGGTTTTTTTTCTATTGGCCCCAAAGTAAAGAGATGCATCAAAACATGAAACATATGAGAGAAGTCAGAAAAGAAATGAACACTACATGCGTATATCAGATGAATCCCTAAGATGCATGTTCCCAACAGGAAGTAACCACCAATAGAGGCTGACAGTAAAAATGCCTTTTTTAAATAATTGAAAAAACAAAAAATTGCAACATGAGAGTAAACCCAACAAAGTTACAGAAGTCACATGCTTCCTTTAAAACTGCTGTCATTCCTCTAGAGGGATTTGACAACAATAATTGGGATGATTTCCCCCTACAAATCCAGATTTCTGTCTTCACTGGGAAAACCCACAGGCTGCCTGCCCGGTGTAAACTCCGCAGAAAAACTCCCTGCCTTTCCTTTTCCAGACGCGCATGCTCGAGCCTGAAAAAAAGAAACGCGCATCAGCCGGTGCATTAGCGCGCGAACACACACGAGGGAAGCCCCTAATGGACAGCACCAGGAGCTGCCAAAACACCGGTGTGGGGTTTCCCATTTTCCCATGGAAAAGCGATCCATGTGTGCACTCTCAATGTTACATAATGAAAGTCCCGGTATCAATCAAGTGAGAGAACCATAACCGAAGTTCAAAATAGTATACCAACATATCTGAATATAGATCACGTGCTGTTATGTCCATGCACTCTATAGCAGATTTGTGCACCCATGGATTAAATACATTTCATGAGCTCTAGGTGAAATATTGTCATGTATATAAAGCCTATTATGTGTTTAAAAAGCCATGGCAGGCACCTGTCTGGCTGAGCAGTGAGCACACACAGCTGCTGCTTCCGTGTAGCTCCTCTCAACGCTGCGTCATCACCACAGCCTGCTGCATGTCCCACATTCAGGCCTGTACTGTACTGCCCCTGTGGAGAAAGAAATTACTACATCATTTCCTATAAATGCTCTATTTCTCAGCCTGGTGGCTGTTTATACTAAAGGGCTGGTCCCAGGCTTGTTTATCACATGATATTGGCTTTGTTATCAGGTCAATGAGTGTGTGTTGTTTGCAGGTTGTTTAATACGTTTATGATGCATAGTTGTATTTGATTGAGATAGCTTGCATTTTGCAAAATATGTCAAACTGCAGATTGATTTAAGATTTTGTTCACGAGCCCTATACTATATTTAAAGATACATATTATTATTATTATTACATTATTGTTATAATTTTCACTCATTATATGCTTATATACTGTATATGACACATTAATATACACTTTCTTTGATATATGTAAATAACAAAAAACACCTGCAAATATTAAACGTATGCAATAAGCAAAGTCTGCAGAAATGCCCCATTCTAAATTATTATTAAAAATAATTATAATAATAACATGGGGGTGACACACAGGTTAAGAGGCTCATTGATGTTATAGGGTCGTTCCCGTCTACGTGCTGTAAGACACCATAATCATCCCCATGTTGTTATAAACTTCCTTTTGCTTTCAACGGCGTGATTTCTCGGAAACAGGTCTATGGCAGAAAGCTACTGGCATCTGCGCATGCGCCTGCACACTGTAGAAAATATTAATCCTACCTAACTGGATTTTTATGTTTTTATTATAAGTGGATAATTTTCTGCCAATATGCAAAGATTAGATACATTGTTTACAGTGAAATTCATTCTTGTTGAAATATATTTCCGGATTAGAAACTAATACGAGTTGCTTGCACTGATAAGCGTTTTCTTATCAAACATGCACACTCCACTTTTTTTTTTTTTATTCTCGTGATCGACATGTTTTACAGCAGCCGGGGAAAACCCATGCTTTCGTCCTCTCCCTATAAAAGAGAGAGGCAGCTCTGTGAGGAGACTTAACGCGCTTCTGATCAAGACAGATCTCCAAGTGGACAACTCAAAGAAGAGGGGAAGCTTCATATTACTTTGGAAGAAACACTTAAACCAATCGAACTACTTTTCTGCATTTTTCCTCTTACGGATCATCATAGAACAACCAAATCTGTAAGTGATTTGATATCAATGTATAACTTGTGCTTGCTTGGCATGCCTTAGATTGAAACATTGTTATTACCGGGAGCTGCTTTTGATGATAAATATTGGAAATTTTGAATAAATTAACTGAAAGATAACTTTGCTAGTAGCTACAAACAAACACCTCAACGAATTTAGTGATGTTTGTATTTATTCGCATAGTATTTTTTGCGTTATTCTTGCACGTGGTGTGTACGAATTGCGCAAAGGACTTTTATTGATTCGCAGGATTTTTTTAATAGGGATGTTTTTTTATACCTTTTTGTCTGCTATCTATCGCATACATTCAGCATTGCACGAGGAGGTGTGTCTGCCCGCGCGAAGGGATCTTTGGAAACGCGCCTTTCCAGTGCCACCTGTGTGGATACAATTGACTTGCACAACTTTTTTTCAAACTTTTGGACTTCTAAATTAGTCCAAGTGGAATTTAAGACATTAATCATTTTAAAAGCACTACATGTTAAATCAGTACATGTTTTTTTTTGGTCTTTTGTGACATTCATAAGTAGCCTGACTCCTACACGCCCCCCCCCCCCCCCCCAGCCTGTCTGCCCCGGCCGTGAACCTCGCGCAGCCTCACGCGCGGCCAGCAGGCAGCAGTAAATCTAAAAGTTCAGGCAGATGTTGAAGTCGATTTCCTCTCACTGCTGTTGTATATCACACACTGCACTTCTTGTTTATCTAAAGACTCTTTTCCTCTGTTGATGCATATTTTAGGCAAACATGCCGGTAAAAAGGGAGAGGATGAGGCAATGGCTGGAGAAACAGATCGAGTTATGTACCGTCTCGGGTCTCAGCTGGGTGGATAAGGTGAGAAGTGAATTTTCTTCTGAAACAAATGTGATTGGTTCATGTCAATGTCATTTACTGAAAGCGTATTCAGCATATTGAGAGGAGTAGAAACAGACATTCTGAATGCAGCAGGGAAGTGATGTGACCTGCATGAGTTTTTTTTTTAATGTTGTTCCGAAGCTCACCACACAATATTTGCATGATACTCTTACAGTAGCTTGTTTGATGCACCAGCTGGGTTGCGTTTTGGTGGTGTGCTAAAAAAAAAAAAAAAACGTATAGCTGACAGTTTATTTAAAACATTTGGCAACTATGGTAACCGTTTAAACAGACTCTCCAAACAAAAGACACTGAGAGATAGTTGTAACCCAAGTTTGTCTCTTTCTCACAGATTTTCAAGCGTATTCTTTGTTGAACTAAAGAAAAATAACAATAATAAAAGTTTTTTGGTGTGCTGTGCAAAATATATGTTATGGCTATGCAATAGATAATTGTTAACGGTAACCTAATCTAAGTTAGATTCTCACTTAGATTGACAGCTACTTACATATTTGAAATGTTGTGTTGTGTAGTTTTTTTCTTTGAATCTTTGTTCCAACCTTTTGTACTTATTTTTTAGGATTCGAAAATGTTTTCAATTCCCTGGAAACATGCAGCCCGACACGGCTGGGAGATGGATAAGGACGCATGCCTGTTCAAAAAATGGGCACTCCACACAGGTGAGCAAGTTTGAATACACACCCTAACTTTGCACAGAATAACGCAAACCCTCTTCTTTTGTTTGGATGAACAATCATGAGACTAAACAAAATGTATTCTGCAGGAAAATACATTGAAGGTCAAGCCTGTGACCCCAAGACATGGAAAGCCAACTTCCGCTGTGCAATGAACTCACTGCCTGACATCGAGGAGGTGAAAGACAAGAGCATCAACAAAGGCCACCAAGCTGTGCGTGTCTTCAGGATGCTGCCTGTGTGCCCCAAATCTAGAGGTGAGAAAACTAACAAGAAGCCAGCAAGCATTTTTATATATAATTTCCATTGGTGTGAAGCCACTGCCGCATGCTGATTTGTTTTTTTACTTCACACATTGAGCTGTTTAAGTAATGAAAATGTCTTTCTTTCATCTACACAGTTAAACGAAGCAAGACAACGCAAACAAAGTCCAGAACGAAGGTAAATACTCCTGATATCTTGTGATTCGTAATAATTGTTGCATAGTAAAAGGTATTTTCACATTAAATATATATTAAAAAAATAGTCAGAGCTAGAAATAAAGCTGTAGATGTATTTTTTATCTTATGGGGAAATTATAAATCTCACAAAATGTAATTTCTATTTCAACAGAACGCGATCAAGATGGAGGAAGACTCAATCAGTACAGAGCCTTCGTCCACTCAGGAGAACAATGTGGACAGCACAGTGAAAAATGAGCAGACAGGTGAGGAAGAAACATATGGATAGTTGAGGAAGACACTTTAAACAATAGGATTTTCACTGGCATTCATTCAAAACTGTTGAACAAGTATATAGATTAGATAGACTATTATCTGGAGAATAACGTGTACTTAATGCTATTTTTTGCCATTTTTGCAGATTTTTCATTCCTGAATCCATCTGAAGTTCCTGATTGGTCTGTGTCATTTGAAATCGACTCCAGCTTTCCAAACACCTTCTGCCACAGATTTGAAGTTTCACCTGAGCACAGCTCCGGTAAGACAACAACACCAAACGCACTCTTGCTAATAAATGGTTTATGTAATAATGAAAGGTAGTGGAATGCTATCACAGCGCTGTACTCATCCTTCCCTTTTTTTCTCCTTCTCTCCTTGCTGTGATCTTCCAGATTACAACTCAACAGAAGATATCATCAATGTAAGCATGGCACCCACTCTCGCAAGCATGCATTTTTCATTGACAGGAATACCCATGTTTGTCTTAAGGTGCCTGTTTGGCTTGTGTAATAATTCCCACAACAATAAGATAAGACTGTTATGATTGGGAAAAGTCCAATTGCTCAAAATATTATGGCCATACTCAGTCCAGTGTTGCTCTTTTTTAGATTTGCCAAAAACTGGAGCAAGAATCCTGGCCGACATTCCCTTCAGACAGCATTGGGTTCCTGAGCGATGAAGCATACGCCAGTCCAGGAAGCCAGTGGAGTGAATCCTCCTCAGGTAAATGTTACTAGTTGATGGGTTGGATGCGGGTTAGGGTCTCAGCGATATTGCACATAGCCAAGAGACAGAATAACAAAAGAGTGTTCAAAACTAATGCAAAACCGTCTAAAATATTCTGACTTTAGGTCTATTTTAAGGGTAGAAAACACTACATTTCACACAATGTAACTCAGTAGCCTTTCTGCCTGATGTCTTTAAAGATTCCTGGTCATTCACCATGAAATGATAGGGATTTTATAATATGATGTATATTGTTCTAACCTATGATTTCCTTTGGTTGTTTTACAGCCGACGAGATAGAAGAAACCCCAAGCTATACCACATTGGGCTCAACCTACACAAATCGCACAGACGACCTCTGGTCCCCATTCCTGTAAACGAATTGAGATCTTCAGGATGGGATTGTGCTTTGACACTTTGGACTTTTAAAAAGCTTATCCTGTCCACCCCCCCTTCTCAGTGAATCACCCATCACCACCATCATGATCCCTCCATCCCAAATCAGAGATCTTTCTCCACCTCCATCAACCTTTTTGTACAGTTATTCAAGTGTTGTGTTTGGAGGAAGTCGCAAGCTGTTCATTTCTAATGTTGTTGGCTGGTTCAAGGCATTTTGGCGCTCAGTTTTTTGTCAGGAGTTCGTATGTGTGGACATGCGCAGGATCATACTCAGCTATGAATACACACAAGGGAAGCCAATGCTTACCTCTATAATGTAGTGGGATCAATATTTGACTTTGTAAAGTGTCAAATTCTAATAACTGCATAACATCCATTTTCCGTTATGTGCTCCTGTACATTTTAGTTTAAGGGATTAGAAATCATTTTAACAAACTTTTGGTGAAAGCTCTACTTTAATATATTACAGCCTTAAGTTCAGGAAGGAAAGTTGTACAAAGTTTCTGTAAATAGTTATTTTTGTTTGTGTGTGCTTTTTTCAGAAAATAAAAAATCTAAATGTGAATAAATGTGACTCTTTACTCTTTGTGTGTTTGTGTGCAGACAGTGAGATAAATGATTCTGACTAGATGTTAAAGTCAAAACATTTCCTCACATTGCAATGTATGTCTCTTGGTCTTAATCAGTATAATAAACTGTATATGATATATATCCTAACTTAAATCCGAAAACAGTTTTAAAAAGCTCAGATATCTCTTATCAATACTCCGTTTGTAACAAGTTAAACTGGATTTTATATTTGTTGCTAACCTAAAACAAACCAATACAATCTATTTTATGTGCGGTTCAATTAAGAACAAGAGTTTTTGTGTATCTCACGAGGTATTTTCACATAAGGAATAGGAACGAGTTACATCAAATGTTTTTCTTTCCCATGGGGTTCCCCTATAATTCTACATATTTTTGAGGAAATAATGTAGTTGTGTAACACTTTCGCTATGAAAGTGGACATTACTCAGCGTTAAAAATACCACAAATAGCAATAATAACAGAGAAGGGTGTGAGGAGTTAAGCCCAGGTTTTGATACATTTGATAAATATGTCTGCATGTTTGTGGCAGCTTCATAACAAACCACTGGGCTAGCAGGAGAGATGACATTCTTTTAATTCATCACATCAATCTTTTCAGGTGTTGCTTATTACTGTAAACTGCGTAAGGAGACTTGGAAAAAACACTTCAAAGATAAAAATGTGATCATAACAACAAGTGCTCTCCAAACAAAGAAACAACCTTAAAGTCTGGATTAAGGTTTGTTTTTGAAGTAAAACTACATAACATCCTTTACATTTTCAGATTGAAAGTAAAAATTGGCATGGGTTGTAGCCACAGTTGTAGACAGGGTTGCAGCCAGAATTGAAGAATTACTGAGGTTTTGAGACCAAGCCCCCTCAATTCACTCGTAGGCTTAATCTCATCCAGGTTGTGGTTAAACAACTTTATAAATGTCTGTAGCCGGATCTGTGTTTACAAGGACAGTTAGCAGCCCAACCTGTTTTACACACACATTAGAAATGATTTGCGGAGGTAAAGGGAGGTGGGCTTTTTACTAAAAGATACATTATTTATCTACATTTTAATTTAAAAATGTGTTTTATTTCATCACTCACAGACACAGGAAAAAGTAAAAAGCAGTATCACTTCAGAAATGTATAGTTTATTATCAAATATTTATAATAGCAGCACACAGTACACTTCATTAAATGATAGAGCCTTTGTGATCAAACCATAACTCCAACATAAAGCATCCTCTTGATTGAAAGTGTTATTTGAAAAACACATATTTACTGTTAAACTGCATTGACTCAGCGGCTAACTTTCTGGCTAAATAATAATTTACTAATCCCATAGAAGTCAGGTTGTTTGTCCTATTACTATTAAGTCCAATCAAAATATCAGGTCAAGTGAACATCGATGGATGAAAAAAAAAAGCTGAATTATTTCTTCATTAACCCTTTTTGTAGTTATTTATCTCTGAAAATAAAGACATGTTGACGAGCTTGTGTCCTGAGGTTGGTTAACTGTAGACCGGAAACACTTGAAATAGCGGATGTGACACTCTTTAAACACTGACCTAAGAACACATTTCTTTACTGGATGCCCATCAATTGTTGCGGAAAATATATTACCACAATTCCCACGAACTGTCTCCTTTTAAGTTTCAAGCATTTCCTTCACCGACGGCCATCATATTTTCTTCTTTCTTCTTCCTTCTTCTGCTTCAGACGAAGAGGTTTTCTGTTAGAAAGCAGAACAAAGGGATCATTATTATATTTCTGCCTTATTGAAAATATTCCTATTTGTGGAACACATCTTTTATCTTTTCATTGTACTTGACATACGTTTGGTAGCAACTAAAAGCAGCTAAGCAAAAGAAGAATTCCCATTTCTTTCATTTTACAAAACAATCAAACATCAGAAATGCATTTAAACGGTCTGGCAGATTTGGTTGCATCAGTAAATCTGAAAACTAAACAAAAGGAAGAAGACAGAAAAGAAACTCTAAGGAAAGTTGCAAGGATGTAACAAATAATCAATGGAAAGTGTAGACCTGTGTTCATCAAAAAGAATCAAGACAAAGAAAAGGTGGAGGTTTTAGATTACATTTTGAAAGTAGCAGCACAAAACTTAATGCCAACATGAATTCAAAAGTCAAGTAGTTTAGTTGAACAGTTTACTTAAACTCCTTACATTTTATAGATATACATTTATTAATATGAAGATATATGAAAATGTGTATGTATCCAGGTTTTTGCATAGATTAAATCAATGTTTTTTTCTTAATACAAGTTGTATTAATTGTGCAACCACACAAATGCCTAATTTCTTCAGGAAGATTCGGCAAAAATAAAATGTATATATTTTAGTTTTTTAGTTAATGGAAGATAAAAAAGAAGATAAATAAAAGTGAGTGGACAAGCTTTACATGTGTGTGTATACCGTGCTACATATGTGTATAGTAGGTCTGTTGTGATTATGTAGTCCGCATGTTTTTTTAAACCTAGCACAACAAGTAAGTACATTTGAGTTTGGTAGATTATTTATTTGGTGTAACAATGCTTCTTGGCAATACATCTTAAACAGTTTGAAAGCTTGTCTATTTCTCTTTTAAATGGTGCCACATTTGTGAGGAACATGCATTAGTGCAGGGGTGTCAAACTCAAGGCCCGGGTCCAAATCCGGCCCGCGACTTCATTTTATGTGGCCCACAAGAGCTTGAAAAGAATATAATATGTTTATTATACGGTTACGTGCCACTTTACAGTGTAAAGTGGCACGTAACCGTATAATAAACATATTATATTCTTTTCAAGCTCTTGTGGGCCACATAAAATGAAGTCGCGGGCCGGATTTGGACCCGGGCNAAAAGTAGGACATTGTTTAGATACCTCAAATCACTTGTACTTCACAATAGACCAACGTAGAGAAAGACTGTATGTATTTCAGATAAGATACATCTGTGTTGATCCCCGTAGGGAAATACAGGTGTCTTAGAGGCATTTGTGAAGCAGTAAACATAAGACTTGATTAGAGAGATTTGGATAATACCAAAATTAATCTCTGATTTTGGATTCCTTGTTCAACTTGGAGCAATGAAAGAACAACAAAGCTTACTCTACGAATTCAAGGTAATTCCTGTCGAGTAACTGATAAACAAAAGCTCTTTTAGGGGATAAAGTATTCCTTTAAGGACTTTCATGTGCGGTGCTTGAAATGGTATTACCCTTGAACTACACCCAGTCTGAAACACTCCCAACCACGAGTATAGCATTAGGTATTTTCCCTTTGACCAATGTGATGTTTGAACATCCCTGGCCTACCGTAGTGACTCCTAGAAACCCTATGATGTTCTTAATTCCTAATAAACAACAACAAGAACCCAATGACCCCTGGAACCTCCACAAGGAACTTAGTTAGACCAAAAACGACTGGCTCAGTTTACAAAGTATATGCACACACACACTAACACACACACTAACACACACACTAACACACCCATAACTATCTATATCTCACTTGAACACCACCAAAATAATCCAATCATGGACAAACCACAGTGTGTGTGTGTGCTGCGGCTTTCAGCATCCTCGCTGTTGTACATCAGTCGAATGCTGGCCGAGCTCGGATTTACAGCCACTGCCAAATACATACAAACACACACACACACACATTAACACACACTAATGCACAACAAAAAAACACACCTCCTTCTGTAGTGTACAGCGGCCACCGCAGATAAGCTCAAATAAACAACAGACCTGGAAAAATAAATCCACCTCCCTCTCTCTCTCTCCCTGGGGAGGAGAGAGAGAGGGCATCCAAAGAACGCCGCCTGTTTCTATAAAGCTTCTTGACATCACACACACCACACACACACACACACACACACACACACACACACACACACACACACACCACACAATCAGCGATACAAATAAGAAAGAGAGAGGGAGGTACAGTTCCACAGGGAGGAATCACCTCTTCTATCGCTGCACACACTCCTTTTATCTACTGGCTAATGAGGAGCAGATATACACACACTCACAAACAAGCACACACACTTAAGAACCTACGGACACACACATACACACTGCAGAAACTAAACACACAAACACACACGTCCTCAGGACTGTGGTTTCGTCAGACCATCTCTCAGCAAGTGTCCCACTTTCAAAACTATGAACCGCTGCTTACATCATTATGTAACGCTGAGTGTGTGTGTGTGTGTGTGTGTGTGTGTGTGTGTGTGTGTGTGTGTGTGTGTGTGTGTGTGTGTGTGTGTGTGTGTGTGTGTGTGTGTGTGTGTGTGTGTGTGTGTGTGTGTGTGTGTGTGTGTGTGTGTGTGTGTGTGTGTGTGTGTGTGTGTGTGTGTGTGTGTAGTACGTAGTACGTACGTACGTACGTACGTACGTACGTACCTACGT